CATTTCCATTTAGTACATTGGTTTAGTATCAACCAATAGAATAAGCAGTAAAGACTTCATCTTGATTACAGAAAAGTAATTTTATTAATTAAAAGTAATAGTAAAGCTATAGCTGATGAAAGTTGAGAAGCATGGGTCCTTGGGGAGTAGAGCTGGAAGGACGGGCCATAGCATCAATATAATAAAAAGTAGAAGGAGCCCTTATGGCACAATGGTTAAGTGTGGGGCTGCTAACTGAAAAGTCAGGGTGAGAACTTACCAGCAGCTCTTTGGGAGAAAAGACCTGACAATCAGCTCCCATAAAGATTACGGCCTAGAAAACCTTATTGGTCAGTTCTACTTTGTCCCATAGGGTCACCAGGAGTCTGAATCGGCTTGTCAGCACACAAAAACAATAGACGGTAGGGAGGCAACGAGATGCAATGATAAGAAAGAAATACATAAATGTCTAAACTATTTTTTAAGGTAACACAGTGAAACAATAGTGGAAATAAACAGTGTAGGAAGTACTAGTAGGAGGGAGGAGAGTGTTAATTAGGGGTGTGGTGTAACTGAGCCAAATGCTCGTTTATACTCAAAGAAAATCAATACCAGGTGAACTCTTAAGTTAAAAAATCAAGAAACAGTATTACAAGCATATAGTTTAACAATGTGGAGAAATTATTAAATAACAAAAGATAAAACTTTTTCAATGTGGCTGACTCTAGGGAATGGGACTGTGTCTGTATAAAGATATAACGGGAATTGACTTTAAAAAACCTGTACTACTTTTTTAGCTGTGGGTATATGTTAAAGATAAACAAGAAAAGAAATGCAATTCAACTCTCTTTCCTCTTGCATTTTTCTAAGCAGGAAAAAGAAACAGATTGCACTGTTAACATTTTGTTTGGAAAACTTACCTAGATCATTAGGTACATTTTCTAGTTTCCACATAATTGCAGCCAACGGTATTGCTAAGGTTCCTGCCACTACATAACCAGAATACTCCTTTCTCTGTGTTCCAATATTATTTTCCTCACTTTCTTGCCAGATCTCACACACAGTGTCCTGAAGTCCAAAATTTGACAAACTGTGTTCAAAGTTACTTTAGCTTTTCAGTAACTCCCTTCTCAAGGCCCACTGATGGATTCCAAAGACATTCCCACATTTCAGGTTTTTGCTAAGGCAATGTCTCACTTCCAGATACCGAAATCTGTTTTAGTTATCCATTTCTCATGACAAATTACCCAAAAGACAGAAGATGGAAACAATGAACATATATTGTCTGTTGTTCAGGAATCTTAGGAGAGGCTTAGCTGGGTGGTTCTGGCTCAGGGAGCAGTCATCCCAACGGTTGACTAGGGAGGATCCCATTCTAGATCCATCTCATACAGATGTCAAAGGGCATCAGAAGATTATGGGCCTCATGTCCTGGCATTTGGCTTCCCTCAGAGCGCGCGATCCAATAGAGATTGCTCTAAGTAGAAGCCACATTCTTTTTATAACCTAACACAGGAAGGGCATTCCATCACTTCTACCATGTTCTATTCATTGGAAGTTTGTCAGTCAGACCAGCCCTCACTCAGAAGGCGTAACGCTAAGAGGTGGGGATCTTTGGAGCCCAGCTTACAGGCTGCCTGGTAAAGATTTCATACCTTATGTTTCTTATATGGAATCTGTTTCAGAGCAATCAGTTAATTTGTGAGAGAAAGTGTTTTTTGATTTTGTTTTAAGGAAAAAGACAGCAAATTCCGGAAGAAGGTCAAATTAGAAAATCCCAAATTCATAATCCCTAATTGTCTTGGATTGAATTGTGTCCCCCAAAAATATGTGTCAACTTGGTTAGGCCATAATTCCCAGTATTGTGTGGTTGTCCTCCATTTGATACAATTTTCCTGTGTGTTGTAAATCCTTATCTGTGCCTCTGGTTAATAAGGCAAGGTTCGATTATGTTAACCTAATCCTAGAGGATTAGGGTGGGATGTAACACCCTTACTCAGGTCACATCCCTGACCCAATGTAAAGGGAGTCTCCCTGGGGTGTGGCCTGCACCAACTTTTATCTTACAAGGATAAAAGAAGAGGGAAGTGAGTGGAGAGAGGGACCTCACACTACCAAGAAGTGAACCAGGAGAAGAGCGCGTCCTTTGGACCCATGGTCCCTCTGCAGAGAAACTCCTAGTCCAGGGGAAGATTGATGACAAGGACCTTCCTCCAGAGCTGACAGAGAGAGAAAGTCTTCCCCTGGAGCTGACACCCTGAATTTGGACTTCTAGCCTACTAGACTGTGAAAGAATAAACTCTTTGTTAATGCCATCCACTTGTGGTATTTCTGTTACAGCAGCGCTAGACAACTAAGACAGTCATGAAATAATGCATCTACCCAGTGGTCATAGGTGGCTGCAACAATCATTAGTGCAAGGTTGATGGAGAACTTTATAATGGATGGATCAGGCTGACAATACTTGAACTCTCTAATTAATGGGACAAACAGATATTTTGCTCCTTTTGATGTGATGCAGTAGAATATAAACATCTTTTATGAATTATTCTTGTTTGGTGGAGGGAGAAGAAGAATGTAATCAAACTTCTAAGTCACACTAGGAGTTAATAGGAAATGTGAAGCTTAAGTGAACTCATTAAATGATGCCATGGTGATACAATCAACTAAAACCAGAATTGGGAAAATTTATAGGACAAATAATGTTTTGAAATGGGAAACAAACAAATGGTCTAAGAAAGAGGGAGAGAGTATTTGTTATAGAAAAAAGTATATATAAAAATCTAAAAATGAACAGTAAACATAGATAAATATTTATTTAAATTACATTAGGGTGTTACAGATCTTCCTATGCATATGAGCAAAGGCGCACTCAGTTTTATACATTCTTTGAAAGTCACAGTTACCATCATACCTGTGTGTTATGTAAGCATTGAGATTGTTGTTGAGACAAAAAGGAATTTCTGCCTTAAAGATCTTACAACTGACTTGTGGAAACATATTATTAAAGATGGTAGAAGTTAGTGGTTATGGAAATTATCGTAGACCCAAAGCCAATCTTGACGTTGTGAATTTACATCTGAATGTCTATCTCTGAGCTGCAGTTTCCTCTTCTATTAAATGGCAGGTGGCTTTGCTTGACATATGTGATTGCAAAGAGGACTAAAGCATCCTGCAAATCTAAAACATCCTTCATATTAAAAAAGGAAAAGAAATACTAGCCATATAGGATAAAAGTAACAAACGAGTGGAATAGACAACAAGCCACCGGCATTTGGAAGAGGTGAGTCACATCCTGGAACTAGGGAATTTATTCAAGTTTCCTGGGAAGATCAGAGTTTGAGTTCATTCCAGAGGGAAAGCCCTAAGGACCTTGTCATACCATGCTAAGTATCTGCCCCAGAGTCTGGTACTTGCGATGGTTGGCAGCACAAAAAAATATTTGCTACATGAATGAATGAATATGAAGAGTGTGCCGTTGAGTAGAGCTTCCATTGTGTTTTATGGGCTCTAGGCGGAGACTATTGCCAGTGGTGGGACAGAGATTACCACTGGGATGCCCATTTGGGTGAGGGGACTTACTACTTTGTCCTTCAGTGTTTTATGCTTTTCTCCCCTCAATTAAGTTCAGTTTCTTTTTAATATTATGTGGCCCACCCGCCAAAAAAAAAAAAAAAAAAAAACCCGTAAGAAGTTTAATTGAGAACATGGAAAAATACTGCCTGCTATAACAAGCAGAAATAAATATGAGCTTTGGAACTTTTATTAAATAAAATTTCTTTATAAATAAGGGAGTCACTTTTGAAATCTTGAATCTTTATAATTTTTTTCTTAATTAGAAACATCCTTAGCTACTAGGTGCTAAGTGTTCTTGCCTATAGCAAAAATCCATATATTGCCTCCAGCCAAAATTCAATACATCCTATCTTCCCTTGACTCTTATAAAAATGATACAAAAATTTTAAAAACAAAATTCCTTTACAAAAAGGAAAAGCCTACTTTTAAATGCCACGCTTTCCTGCATTAAGAGAAAGTTGTTCCTTCTTTTGTTTTTATAAGTTGCACATCTTAAGAAATCATGCGCATGAACCGTTAATAACTATGGTCTCCATTTCCCGAGAAGATGAAAAGCCACGCGGCACTTTTCGTCGTAGTGAACGAGAACGGACGCATAAATCAATCCCCTCAGGTCTTGGCTGCTGCTTCGGAGGCGAGGGGCGCCAGGCTGCCTCGCCTGACGCTTGCTCTCCGGCAGCAGAGGGATTGGACACATGCGCACGGTCGGTCTCTTTGTGTGCGCCGGCCAGGGCTTGGCTTTGAGGCACACAGTTCCTAAAGGGGCAGAGTGTGGAGCGGCCGTGTGTTTGGAAATAAAAGGCACTGTGCCCACGGTCACTGAAATAAACAACTGTCTCCTCTGTGGATGTGTCCCCTCCGCCCTTGCCCTGGGGTCCAGCTGGGAGTGGAGATGGGCGCCCGGAATGAGGCGCGGCGTTTCCTTGAGAAGCCCGCCCGGGCGCGCGGAGGCTTGGCTGGTCGTAGCGACCCGGGAAAGCGGCGGGGGAGGGATGCCGCGCGCGCCTCGGAACATCCCCCAGCCCGTCGGCCGCCGGCCGGAGCAGGGGGGTGGGGGAGC